CCAGAATAACGGGTCGTCAAATACACTAAGCGCGCCTCCTACTACTACTACTACTACTACTATGACTATTACTACTACTATTATTATTCTTGTTTCAGGTTGTCAACCTGAACACTGGGAAGCTCCTCTACTCAAAGCTGCAGACGGGAGTTTCGCTTGTCTACGAGGCTGCAGCTGATCACTCTTGCAGGCCCTTGCTCGCGACGCTTTTGGTGTCAGGAGTGGTTTGACATGTTTGCCGAGAAGGTGAAGGCTGAAATGGCGTGAGCCTGAAAGGGGCCTGGACATGTCACATGTAGACAATGGTAGGATTATATTGGTCTAATATTAGGGGTATATTGGGTTATATGGGGATAATGGAAAAGAAAATGGAAACTAATAGATATATATATATATATATATCATATTCAGCTCTGGTGCTGGGTTGTGACCAGGCAAGAAGGCATTTAGGTTAGTAGACGACTTACATGTCCGTGCTGACTTGATTGATTATCTGTCACAGGCGTTTATTTCACAGTTGCTATAGGATCATGCAAAAATCAGCAACTGCGACTCCTGAATAACGGTGTGTTGTAGATTCTGGTTAGGGTAAGCTAGCGTGGGGGTGGTTGGATGATTTTCGCAGCGATTTGCCCTAGCTCCCACCACCGCATGCATCAAAAAGGCTGCGCTGATGAAGTGATTTGAGGTCAGGCTTGCTTCCCGTCAAAAAGCATCACTTTATAGGTTCTACCGCGTGCTGTCATCCGTCTGAACCTGCTTGCATCGCACACATGGAAAGCAACATGAAAGTCCTAGGAGCCTCTACAGGGCAACCAGTTGCACGGCTCAGTAGTGGAGTAGCGACGTCAGGCTTGGTTAAGCTTAAATGATGTCCGAATGAACCAGAACTTCAAAACCCATGTGCGCATGCTTTGTCTGAAGATGCAGTCCTAGCCATGGAAGCTCCACCTCCTTTGGAGGAAGTCGACAGCAAGCGCCTCAAACAGCCGGCTGCAAACAAAACGCTGTTGCAACTTGATGGACCAGGTCCCAAGGCATCGCAACCAACTCCATTGGCTCTGACCCTTGCGCAGTCCAAATCTGCCGGCTGGTTGCCAACAATTCGGCCTCTATCGGGGGCTGTGCCCTTAGCAGCCATCGCTGCAGTTCTGGAGGATAGGAATCTTTGTGAGCACAAGGTGTCGGCTTTGCGACTTCATGCGCAGACTATGTATTTCAGCACGCCCAAGCCAGAGGCTCAGCAATAAAAGCCTAAGCGATCTGGGGCGCATGACGGGAGAGGCACATTGCCACAGCATTATACCGAGGCAAGGTGTGGCTAGCCCGTCCCCTACAGCGATGGAGGCCGGATGAGTGGTGCCCTATGGTGTTTGTCAATCAGCTTGACACAGTCTGTGCTAGGAGATGGTCTTTACAGATGGCTGGGGAGGGACTCCTTCCAGGTTCCAGCAGGCGGTTAGAACATGGCTTTGAACTCAGCCCAACGTTCTTACTGGCTAATCTGCAGGCGTCCACCGTAAAGAATGACATGGCAAACACTGGTCCGGTTGCAAGCTTACCAGTTCACCAGTGAACCGCTTCAATCCATGCTGCGGCTCACCTGCACATGTCAAGGCTTTGCTTCGAAAGTCGAAGCACGGAGCTCGGAAAAGGGTTCCAGGCCCTTCCCGAGATGCACTCATTACCTAGGTCTGACAGCGCTCTGCACGGGCTTTCTCCGAAAGCATCCTCGGAGAATGTGCCCAACCATGGAGATTTCGAGGCCTCTGCTCCTGATGCCCGCCACTGCCAGGTACGTGCTGGCAGCACCATGTTTGGCCTGGCTCGAGCTCATAGGTCTGGTGCTGTCGTCGCAGGCAGTGGCTGCGCCTTTGGGTGTGGCTGTGCAAGCTGCGAGCCTCTGCCAGGACGCACGGACTTCGTAGATCAGGCCGAAGGGTTGCAACTTGCAGCAAAGGTCCTCCTAGAACGTTGCAGGGCAAGCTGGTCAAGGATATTGACAAGCTGACCAGTGCCCTGGGTGAGGTAAAGACCATGTTCGAGGCCGGGCTAGAATTGCAGCAGCTGTATTGGAAAAACCAAAGAGCGGGCGACAGTTGGTCACGTTACCACGGTGATGTCAAGAGTCAGCGCAGCTTCTTCATGCTCAGTCTAGGGTCGACGCTGTATGTGTGAAAGAGACGAGGCTTTGCACTAAAGCTCATCCACGGTCAGAGTAATCTGGAAAGTCTAGGAACATTTTGAGCTTTGCCTCGGGCATCAGTGGGCCTGTGGTTCCTTTCACCGAAGGGCTCGCTTGCGTCAAACAGCTGCTGGCAGCCTAGAAATTGGGAACCTGGACCACAAAGCTGTGATGCCAGGGCTTCGATCCACGACAGTCTCCGAAGAAGAAACCGACCTTCAGAAACTGGCTCAGTTCTACTTTGCTCTCAGCTCCTTTTCGATGCCCCACGCACATGAGGTGATCTACTAGCAGGGGGCAAGGCCCAAAAAATGGGAGCTGAAGGCGAGGGTTCCCATGAAGTTGATGGGAGATGCTAGGAAGTGAAGAATCTACAGTATAGTATAGTGGGGTAATATAGGAATAATGGAACAGAAAACGGAAAGTACTATAGTATATTGGGGGTAATATAGGGATAACGGAACAGAAAATGGAAACTACTATAGTATATTGGGGGTAATGGAAGATAAGAATCAGTTTCCATGTTTTCCATTATTCCTATATTTCCCCAAATACTATACTATAGAATGGCAGAATCAGGTGAGGCAGACAATGACGGCGACGAGGCAATGCGGGAAGCGCAGGAACGTCTGGCCGAGCGGCTGCAGGCACCGCGAGCCAGGGCGGAAGAGGGGATTAATGGGGTTTAGGGTTAAGGGGTTTAGGGCTCATATTATCCCAATGATGGAGAATCAAATGGAAATTTGCATGGAAAATGAAATGGAAAACATGGGTATACAGAGGTTACCTAGCTTCTAAATGACCCATTACAGTAGTTACCATTTTCTTTTCCATTATCCCTATACTACCCCAACATGATATAGTAGTTTCCATTTTCTTTTCCATTATCGTCATATTTTCCCAATCTACTACAGTAGTCTCATTTTCTTTTCCACTATCGTTATATTATATAGGGATTCTTCCCTAAACCCTAAACCCTAAACCCCTAAAGCCTAAACCCTAAACTAATTGTAGCCTGTAAGAGCCTTCATTGGGCTGTGCTTAGTGTCCCATTGTGCTGCAGGCCTACAAGTATGCGAGGCGCATCGAGCCAGAGCTGCCCCCACTGGTTTGGCGCCAAGGGTCTAGGGTTTAGGGGTTTAGGGGTTTAGGGTTTAGGGGTTTAGGGTTTAGAGGTTTAGGGTTTAGGGCCCCTGGATTTTTGTGGCGACTGCTCGGGATGAGGCGGGGATATCCGGTAGTTTGCAGGGCGTGCGCCCGCACATTTGAATATTCCACCTGGGTATACCACCGCAGTGTCTTGTCAAACTGCGAAGACATGGTAAATCATCCAACTTCAGCTCGGTCTTCAGTGCTGTGCCATACCCTGGCCGACTGCAACTAGTAGGGCCCAGGCCAGGGTGTGAAGTCGTGATTTTTCTGGCACAGTTGACAAATGCAAACAGGCATCAACAAGGCGTGAGTTGGTATCTCTCAGATGAATGATTGCCTGAATATCCCTAGCATTGTATCTGATGCCTTTTGCAGCCAAACAATTTGTTGCTTCTCGTTTTTGACTCCGCATTCGAGGCCCGGTTGCCATCAAGTGGCATAGCGCCGAGGTAGAGTGCTCAATTTACCATGTGCACAGGCAAATTTGGTAGTTTTCCAAATTAGGGGGGCCCCAATATACTATAGTCTTATTATGGGCACCCCCAAAAAGTACCCCTAAGTCTGGGAAACTACAATTTCCGTAAAGACAATGGAAGCAAGGAAGCCTTCGCAGACCTTGGTCGTTCGCAACACAACTCCGGAGGTGCACGTGTGAGTTCTTGTTGCAGTGAGCAGCTGCAGCGCGTCTGTACTGTTCGGCAGGCCATTCGAATATGGTTGCCAGCAAATCGCAAAGAGCGAATTGCAGCAATTGCAGAGGACCTTCTGAATATTTTTCTTATCTATTGATTTCGTCTTAACTATTGGAATCTATTGGATCCGTCACGTGGGATGCGCAGATAAGCAGACAACCCAAACATGGGTATCATACATGTATATATATATATACATAATATATATATATACACGTAGATATAGAGAGACAGAGAGAGAGAGAGAGAGAGAGATCCTATCAGCCCAACACGGGCTGGGCGGCGAAGCCCGGGGGCGGGTTCACCCTGCTCCCATAGCCCGAACGAAAGAAAGAAAGAAAGAGAGAGAGAGAGATATATATATATATATATGCATAACTTCATAAATTCCCTGTACGCTGAAGATAAGTCTCTAACGTAAAGAGCTTTCGATGTATAGAAACATGTGCTGGGTTATGATGACCAAAGGCCCTTATGGGTTCCGGGCTTAATGGCAGAAACACCATGCGGTCGGCTGAAAATATTGTGATTATGATTACTATTTTCATTATTCTTGCTATTGTTACAACTATAATTGTTATTGCCATTACACGGGTTCATAAGCACTTAGGTCCTGCAGAGTTGGCGGTAGTGGTTGGGAGTGGTCGTTCTGCTGCCAGCCCCCCTCCCCCCCACCAGTTGAGACCACTCCCGACCAGTCCTTATCTAAGTCCAAGAAGAAAACACAAGAAAGCATATCCATATCATCAACCTTTTCGGGCCGTGTGTTCCAGTGTCGGGGCCACTATTTTTGGGGCAATTCAAGACATGAAGTCAATTCTTCAAAACCCTGAGTAGTAGTTTCCATTTTCTTTTCCTTTCTCCACTATATAACATTATTATCCCTATATATATATACATATATATATATGCATATACATGTATATGGGTGAGTTTGAACCTCCTTGGAACTCAACTTGCACCGAAGTGTTGGGCAATGTGTACATACATCAATACACATGAATGTATGTGCATAAAACTCTACTTCCCCTCTATCTGGATAAGGACATGTGCATATATGTACATACATAGATACATAGCTGTTATTTAATGATCTTCTCGTGATTCTCGCAAGGAGAGGTCATACCGTTGAGACCTGAGAGCCGACCGATGAAGCAGACATTTTGACTGGAAGTTCTGGGAAAGCTCAAAGCTGATAGGCCTGTAAGAGTCGAGCACCGAGGCAGACGCTTGTATCAGAGCCAGCGTGAGCGGATGGTAGAGGCATTGTGTCTTTGTCAGCTTCGGCTACATCTCACTTGTAAGTCTCAATTGCATGGACAGGAAGCTGCAGATGCGCTCAAAGAGGATTGGACCTTGAAAGTGTCCTGCTAGAGAATGCAGTTTCCAAGCAGCCCCGTCTTACAGCCGTGGTCATTCCTGCAGGAGATCGATCGCAAAGAGCAGCACGCAAAGCAAGCAGCAGGGCCCTCCGTTCTGACAAAATGTCACATGGACTTCTGTCTAAACTCCTTAAAGGGGGTTATATAGGGGATTATAGAGGGGAGTATCACAGAGGCACTAGGAGTTTAGACTATAGCTCACATGGACTTGTGTGGCCCATGATGCATCTTTCGAGGTGGAGAGCCGCAAGATGCAGGCGAAACTGAAGTCCGAAAGCAGGCTTCAGAGCCTCAAGATGCGAAAGGTTGGCCTTTCTGTGGTTACATGCGGTCGGTGACAGGGATTTTCCGGCTGCGAAGTGGTTCACGTCGGTCACTGAAGACTTCCTCAACAGGGATCCGAATGAGTGTTTTCCTGGCAGATTGCAATCCGAAAGCTTTCTTCACTCTGAGGCTCATTTGGGCTGTTGGCTTCTTGCGGCAGATTCAGCAGGAGATTTACGCTTCAAAGCGAGCAGCTTCGTAGCTTCGCCTTGTGTGAGGACGAGAAGCAGAGAAAGATCCCAGTCTTAGAGCGTCAGGGGCTGTATTTAAATCAGCCTCTGGCTCCCTCGCAGGGCAATGCATTGAGCTAGTGTGCCACCCGACCCTGGTAATGAGGTGTGGAGTACCTGAAGGGAAACGCTGACAATCTTCTGGTCAAAAGGCATCGGTGTTGCCTGCAGATCTCCCAGATGGTGTTTGTCCCGCCGAGTGGCTTGCAGGTCTAAGCTCACGGGCTCTCAAATGAAGGAGGCTGTGGGAAATGGGGGCAGGGGGAGCTGTTTGGTCAGCACTACCTTGCTTGAAGGCCATGAGGATGGAGACCGTGGTCCAGAGCCCTGCGGTATCCAGGCCAACAATGGCTCTGCTGCCTCTATCTCACTGCTGAATGATATGGCTGAAGGTCAAGAAATGCTTTGGCAAGAATTGGTCGTTGAAAGTAGAAGGGTTGCCTAAATGTTGGTCCCTGATTTGATAGTTCCCACACAAACTTTTCCTTTAATGTATTGGAGACAACCTTTAGTTAAGGCGGTCTCCAAAGTAGGATGGCATAGCTCCATGGTGTTTGACAAGCTATCCATAGCCTAGCCCCATGCCGACCTCAGGTTCATGTGGGACTTTTGCAAAATGAGGGGTACCAATTTGAGGGTACCTACATTAAGGATTATAGTACATCGGTGTCTACCACGGGGTCCCTTCCCACCTCAGCAAATCTTTCTGTCACGATGCCTTTCGCAGCTGACAGGCTGTTCACCAGCTATGTGGCCTCCATGAAGGCATCATGGCGTCAGACACCTCTGCACATTCCTTCAAGATGTTAGAGAGCACATGAATGCACCCAGAGCTTTTTTTTCGTTCTGCAGATGAAGAGAAATATCACCAAAGCCAAAGCCAACGCAAAGAAAGTCTGGGCCCAAAGCTGCCTTCCACCACGCACGAAGGCTGAGACCCAGACGTAATTGACAGTTCTTCCCGTTCACAAGGTTTATCAAGCTTTGCGCAACTGGCAGGCGGGAGCAGCACCTGTTGCTTAAAGTAAAGGCTTCTGCCGTGCCAACCAGCGAAAGTTTTCAGTTTGCAGGTGGCTGGACGTGTCATCTTCGCCCTGAAGCCCTGTGGCTGAATAAGGCTGTCAGTGGAATGTAGTATGGACAGCAGGCCATCTCTTTATGGCTGCGTGCTTCGAAGTTGCTTAAGTTCCAGCACTCATGGGATGACAGCGGAGTGGTATGTCATGATGTGACTTGCAGCTTATCGTGATCTATGCCTCGTATGAGTGTGGATGATGCGCACCTGTTCTGAGGAATGTCGCGTTCCAGGCAGTTTGCATCAATTGCATGGCTTCACACAAAACCGTACAGGGTTCAACGGATGCTTGCTGGCAGGCAAGAAAGCTGCAGAGATTCTGGAGAGCATGCTCTGCGTCCATGCCCTATTTGTTCAGAATGATGTCTCAGCTTCCTGTAAGCTGGTGCACAGCAGGCGCCTGCGGGAGCAACGCGACCGCCTGGCGCAACGTTGGAGTCCTGGAAAGCCCTGCGTTGTTAGTTTGATGGAGGTCATTTGTCTCGCTCAGAAAACTCATCTGTGCCAAGCTGCAAGACTGCTTTCTACATGAGAGGCTGGGAGAAGCTGGAGCGACAGGAACTGTCGCAAGAGCTCTCGAAGGTGCTGCTTGCCAGTCTAGACATTTTGCCATGTCGTCCATGTGTAGCTGTTCGTGGCTGTGGCCGTACCAAAAGCAGAGGATACTTCATCAGTATTCCAGATATGTGACGTCCAGATTCTGCGCCGTATGTGGTTTTTCATCCAGCCGGGCTGAATCAGCCGGAATGTCCACCTCCAAAACACTTCCAATGTCAGAATCGAGGATGGAAATCACCTCATGAGGGGTCAGTAGCAAAGTTTGCGTAAATGCATTTGCAAAGATCCGCGAGTATTTCTGTGATCTCTGTATGTCATCAGGTGTTACTCATATCGCACCGGTCATGTTCTCTACTGCGCTCGTGCCTGCAAAGTGGTCGTCCTAATGCAGTTGAAAGGGATGCTGGGGCGCTTGCCAATGTCTAATTTGGAGCAAGGGCAATTACAGTGATTCCGGGCATTGTTTGTGCATGCCTCCGTCTACCAGCAAGATCACACCTGTATTTGCCTGGCAGTGGGAGCGTCCTGCCGGCCAGCGGAACTCTGCCGCAGGAAACTCAGAGGGCGGCGTAGCTTAAGACTTGCAACTGCTATGGCGCGGTGTTTCTGTTGTTGTGAGGTCGCTTTGACGTTGGAGGATAAGATCTCCATCGAGCTCACGCCGAAGGCTGTGCCCTGAACGTGTCTGATCATCGCAAAGCTCCTTGCAGCCTTCCAGGCGGTTCGGCTGACTTTCCTGGAGAATGAGCTCAGGGCAAGAAGATACTTCTTGCCACTGTACTGCATGAGCCTTTTGATGTGTTTCTGGGCCAAGGAAACAACAAGGCTAGAAGACCAACAAAGACTGATTACAGAAAATTTGATTGGAGGATTAGACTGTTTGAGGTTTGGGGTTCAGCATGGAGCGCGGGGGAAGCTCTTGTACCTTTTGAGTTTCGTGATCACGAGCGTAGTGACTTCCACGCATGCTAGGCTGTCGCCTGATTCCATGGTTGCAGTTGTTCACTTATGGAGTGATTTTGCTCACTTCCTACCAGGCTGCCTGCGATTGCCAACTGGGAGCAGGAATGCATCAAGTGGAATGCGGAGTATGCAGCGTGCAGAGCCCGGACAATCTGCGTCTTGTTTCCTGCATTTGTCCCCCATGTGACTAATTTCATCATACAAGATGATCCAGTTAGTGTAGTCCACATACGTTAGGAGGAGTTAATGGTTGCTTGGCTGAGCTTAGTTCCAAGCCTAGCATTCTGCCAGAGCATTAGGCGATTGGAGACGAAGCGGGCGTACCAAGCGCAGCGCTCTCGGCATCCAGGCTGTGTCACGCGCACCAAATGCTAATGCTGCTCATGCGGACCACCACCGCTGAGGCTGGGACAAGAAGAGGGGTCAGCCCGGCTGTACCTTGTGATGTTTCCTCCCGAAGTGCGCTTCTGCCAGGTTTATGGAGAAGCCGGAGAATGCCTTCTCGTTCCCCCCAAGCCGACCCATGCATCTGCCACCTGCACATCCGCTGGGTGAGGTCCTGTTGCTTGGATTGTTGTTTTAAGTGACAGTAGACAAGATGTGGCCCTGGAGGCTGCGCGGGGTGCCATTTGCTCTCTTGGATGTCCCGGCAGAAGGGGTGACGAGGCAGATGGAGAATAGTTTGCGCATGCGCCTCCCGTAAGTGAGCGATTGTAACATCATCAGCAGCCTGAACTTTACAAAGTGCCGGGCGAACCTGCCGTTTCTGGAATAGCAACTACTTCTAGTAGTACTACTAGAACAAAGAAAAAGAAATCGCAGCAGCCTTAGCAATAGCAGCAGCAGTAGCAGCAGCAGTAGGAGTAGGAGTCAGGCTAGGAGTTGTAGTAGGAGGAGTAGTAGCAGCAGCAGCAGTAACGGCGGCACCGTAGAAGCTGCTGCTTTTTTAAACTACGATTGCTACGAATCCTCTACCACTATTCTCCTTATTGCTATTTGGATTGCCATTGCTGTTCCTACCACTCCTACTGTTTGTGACATTATAGGAGTTGGTAATTACTCTTGTTATCATTGTCATTATACTTGGTTTTAATGGTGTCACTACCACATCAACTACTCAAATACTACCACCAGCAGAGTGCAGCGTTTTGCATCATGCCAGCCTGCAGGAGCTCCTTGAAATGTGGCGGCGATGCCGACAGGATCCCACCAGCTGGAAGAAAGTTCCCAGGCTTCTTGTAGCATTGTAGCTGCCAGAGCACATCTGAGAGATGTTGACCGCGAAAGTGGTTGTGATGATCCTTGACATGATCAGGGCGGGAGCGAAGGATTTCGTTCTGAAGAAGACGAAAACCGACCGCAGTCTAGCTGAGGACCAGCTTTGCCTGTGTCAAAGATTGCAACTGCAAGATCCAAAGCAAAAGTGAGTGTGTCCTGGAGCAACACTTGCATCCAACGGCAAGTGCAGGAGAAGATCGTGTCGTAGTCCTGGCCTGTGAAACAGGGTATGCAAGATTGGTATGTCAGACCCGGCACAGTCATTGCATGCTTGCCATTCAATTTACAGCAAAGCTCCGAGAAATACAAGTAATAATAGCAATAATAATAGTACTGATGGTAACTGTTCTAGCAGTAGCAATAAGAATGATAGTACTCATAGTAGTAATAGTCGTGGAACAGACACAACCTTACTAGTTCTCCGTAGGGAATAAGCGAATATAATCCCTATATAAGCCCTACGCAATATGTTCTCATACTCCCTTCTATAACCCCAATATATTATCAGATTATAATAGTTTCCATTTTTCCATTATTCCTATACTACCCCCCATAAACCCTAAACCCTAAACCGTTAAGCTGTGAAGAAGTGGCAGGCTAGATGAGCTGCTAGAAAATGACAAGGCAGGGCTCGGGCAAGCACGGACGCATCCACCCAGCTTGGCATGTAGTTAAGTAATAATAATAATAATACTAGAAATAATAGTAGTAATAGTAAAGCTATTAGTAGTAGCAATGATTAATATAGGTGGTATCAATAGTAAGTAATGATAGTAATCATACTAACAATCTTAACAATGGTATTACTAGTTATAATAGTGATAATCATAATAGTAATAATAGTAATACTGGTAATAAAAATGGTAATAGTAGTAATTAAAATACCAACAAAATGGTAATCATAATAATAATATCAATAACAGTAATAATAGTTCTAATCGTAATTTGAGCAGAAATGGTAGTAATAGTCCTTGCATCCCAAAGAATAGCGAAGAACATGGAAATTCACATGGACCTTTGGATTATATGTGCTCGCAGCATCAGGATAAAGACTTCGGAGAAGCGCCAGATTCTGAAGCGCAGCTCGGTAGAATTTTGGCGCATGAAGAACGGTCTGCTTGGCAGGCATTATATATATATGTATATGTATACACACATGTTTAGGGGTTATATAGGGTTTTATAGGGATTATAGGGTATATAATTGTATATAGAAAGGTTACATAGGGACAATGGAAAATTGGAAACTATAGGGATTAGAGATGTTTTTGGACTCCATTGCTCCAACAACCAGGAGAATCTACGGGGTGGATGACTCGTTGATGCCAGGCCTTCTGGCATCCTTCTAGGGGGGTCTTGGCTGGAACAAATAGCGTATGTAACAGCTGCAAATGTTGATGGTTGTATTCTCGCAGTCATAGTGGGGGTGGGGGTGGGGGGTTGGGGTGGGGTGGGTGTTGGTGCTTGGTGCTGGTGCTGGTAGTCGTCGCCACCACCAGAGCAGCAGACGTAGTCATCGTCAAGCAGGAGTGGGGTTGGGTGGAAGTAGAAGGGGTAGCAGCATAAATAGTTTAGTAGGGTAGAAGGAGCAATGATAACAAATGGTAGCAGTACTAGCAGGAGGAAGTCAGAGGAAGGGATTTTCCTACGATCCACCAGTGTCCACAGCAACACTCAGCTTTGAGGAGAGATGCCGATCATCATATGGTAGTTTCCCAAAA